GTGATGTCATTTCTGCACCGTCGGTGAGCCTCGTCTCCAGTAGCCACTTTTCCCACCTGATTTCTCCTCTAGCTGTACATCTGTTATTTGGATGTCCTTGCTCACCGCCTTGCACATATCGTAAACTGTCAGCGCCGCCACCGATGCCGCGGTTAACGCTTCCATTTCAACTCCAGTCTGACTCGTGGTCTTCGAGCGCGTTCGTATTTGTACACTGCAGCTTTGCTCGTCCAGCGTCAGTTCCACATCGATTCCACTGATGAACAGGTTATGACAAAGCGGAATCAGCGTTGATGTCAACTTCGCACCGCTGATACCCGCGATTCTTGCGGCGGCGAGAACGTCTCCCTTCGCAATCTGGTTTGCACGTACAAGGCCAAACGCCTTAGGTCCAAGACGGACAGTCGCAGATGCGCACGCGACACGCACTGTCGCAGATTTGTTGCTGACATCGACGATCCGTGCTTGACCAGACGAATCTACATGCGTCAACCCATCGCTGCAAGAAACACTTTGCATTCCTTCCTCACCAGCCTGTTCAGTACCAGCCACCACCTTCTTGTCCGCATCATCGATCTGCTCCTCGATGCCAGAGCAATCCCCCCGGGCAATCACTCGTGGTGCCGCCGCGATCATGGCAATTCCAGCCTTCATCCGCATTCCACTGGGCTGAACCTGATCAAGCAAACGTCCAGGAGGAGCTAAGCATGGCATACGTCGCCGCCTTACGAGCCTTCCAGAGTCCATAGTACAGGGAAGATATCTTCTGCCGCCGCCATTGCCAAAGCATTCGGTGAAATGAGATTCCGAAGGTCCTCTTGAATCACCAGATGATGCCCAGTGTCCTAACTGAATACTCTTGTTAGCCAAATTCCCGGTGTCCTACATGCAAACATTGCGACAGTTGGCTTTAGATTCCCAAATCAATCATTACATCAATCCATCAATCAACCAATCTCTCTCTCTCTCTCTCTCTCAACAAGAAGAAGAAGAAGAAGAAGAAGAAGAAGAAGAAGAAGAAGAAGAAGATCCCAGACCAGGAGGCAGAGAGAAAAAACAGAAACTGAGGAAAACTCGGAAAAGGGATATCAAGGAAAGAGAAGTAGGCAGAACAACTAACTGAGGAAGTATGTGGGGTACAATCCTCAGCTGCATCGAAGCAACATGTTAACCAATTGGCACCGCACAGGGCCACTGGGGAAGGAGGGACTAGGGATGGAAACACAGAATTGGCTGAGGGGGAGAACTAAGGTGAACATAACGAGAACGATCAGACCGTTGAGAGCGAAGATGGGAGCAGGGAGTAAGTAGTGGTATATACAAATACCCAAAAGATTGCCTGCCGCAATTGGATGGATTTTTTTTTACTTTTTTCAGAAAAAGTGTGCAGTCCTCGTCTTCTTCTCCAGGAAAAGTAAGTCGAGAATTCAAGAGACCGCCCAAGCTGAAATGGCTCTGGGAGAAACTTACAAGCCTAGAGCACATCCCAGGAACAGTAGCGAAGGGTAATCCCACACTAGCTTACCCTACCCTACCCTACCCTACCCTAACTTCGGTACGGGGTACCCTGGAATTCCATCAACGAATACAGTGGTAATGGGTCAAGACCCTGACAACACAGAATTCCAGAGAATCAAGACTTAAACACAGCCCGAAGAAACAATCCCCTTGAATCCCAGAGTGGATGTGACCGAACGTGCAACTCCTCGATAGTGATGGTGCACCACCCTGTGGATCTCTACCCTACCCTACCCTAACATAGGGTACACCCTACCATACCCTAACCTAACCTAGGGTATACCCTACCCTAAGCTAGGCTATACCCTACCCTACCCTTCCCTACCCTAACCTAACCTAGGCTATACCCTACCCTAACCTAGGGTATACCCTGCCCTACCCTACCCTACCCTACCCCAACCTAGGATATACCCTACCCTACCCTAACCTAAGGTATACCCTACCCTACCCTAACCTAAGGTATATCCTATCCTATCCTACCCTACCCTACCCTACCCTACCCTACCCTACCCTACCCTAACCTACCCTAGCCTAACACAACCTAGGGAATACCTACCCTAACCTGGGGTATAGGGAATACCTACCCTACCCTAACCTAAACTAACCTCGGTACCTACCCTCCTAAGGTATACCCTACCCCACCCTAACCCAACCTAGGGTATACCCTACCCTACCCAAGGGTATACCCTAATCTGACCTACCCTGCACTACCCTATCCTGCCTTTGGATATACCCTACCCAGACCCTACCCTACCCTACCCAGACCCTACCCTACCCTGCCCTTTTGGTATATGCTACCCTACCCTAACCTTGGGTTTACCATTCCGTACCTTAAGGGTATACCTTCCAAGTGGTGGAATGAATTATCGCCTCAGCAGATACTCTGATCCCTCAGCATAACACTATGACAGCGTGCTTAGATCTGAACAGAAGAGTCCCGCCGCAGTCCCAAGTTCACCGGGACTCCCGCCGCAGTTTGCTGGAGAGGGACACCACAGGACAGTCACAGTGATGATTGCCACAAAAAGCAAGCCACTTTGTTTCAAGTCCAGCCAGAGGAGACACAGCTGTGTAGCATACTGATACCACACGGGCCCCAGTTAGGGCCCGGTTCTGTAGTAGGCACGGGTTAGGCCTAGGTACCGGGTCACGACGGTCCCAACTAGGTCCAGGTAGGCCTAGGAACCATCGGGTCAGTTTAGGGTCCGGTAGGCCTCGTTTAGACCCCACCAGACCCAACGGCTAGTTGGTTAGGCCAGGTACCGGTCCATCGGTAGGACCAGCCAGCGGCGCAGTTTGGGGGCCACTTTTCAGATTTCGAAATCGGATCTGAACCGTTGGGCCTGATCAACGGTCCAGACCAGAAGGCACCAGTAGTACTGAGGCCGACCCAACACTATATCAGCCAGGTACCAGCCTCAGTCGGTAGGTTAGTCGACAGGAGGTTAGTCTACAGGATTAGCGCAGTGTTTCAGCGTTAGGATGAGCAAGAGCAGCGGAGAATCAGCGCAGCAGCAAGGAGGAATAGCGCAGCAGCGAATTAGCCCAGTAGCGGAGTAGCGCCAGCCCCCGGCCCAGCGCCCGCCCTGCAGCACCATAGCTGCCCCGCCAGGTACCAGGGAGAAAAGGCCTCGCCTTTCCTCCCTTTTCTTCCTCCTCCGCTCTCGCTCTCTCTCTCTCTCTCTCTCTCTCTCTCTCTCTCTCTCTCTCTCTCTCTCTCTCTCTCTCCCCTCCTACCCTCTAAGTCTAAGTCGACTCCTGGGTTACTCCTACTGTACTACAACACTGTGAGAATCTGTATTCGCGGCATTTCAGATTTTCGCTACTTCTGACATTTCGAGATACTATTTTTGGAAACATTGAGTTGACGTCATCTTCCCTCTCATCCTCCCTTGGTCTCTCCTCCCCTCCATTCGTCTGTGTATGAGAGTAGGCCCTGGCCTTTTCTTCCATGTCCAAGGCCAGGGCTTTTCACACCACCGATGCATGTTTGTGAGAGATTGATTGCAGTCCGAGTCAAGTTTGAGTCAGTCCATGTGTATCAAGTCTTCTGCTGTAATTGTACTACTCTGTATTATCTGGTCGGTTCTGGGAATCTGCGCCATACTTATGACTGTGTTTCACGAGTATGCAACAGTTTGGTATTGGAGCAGACCAGCATTGGATGACTCATCATCAATCGGTCGATTGATGGATCAAGCTGCTAAACTAGCGCCTGATCAACCAATTGATTGATTGATTGATTTGCAAGGGACCTGACTGTCAACACTTGCCAGAGTGTAACACAATGCATGCCACTTCACCATTCACACAGATTATGACTCCACACACAACGCAGAATGGGGATGAGATGAGAACCAAGTTGCGCAGCTCATATTATCTCAAACACATTATAAAGAGTATCTTGAGTTCATGTCTCCGGGCGCTCAACTCCTGTCTCTCTCTCGAATATCGACATAATGGGGCCTGGCTTAGCCAGCGCCACCTCTCACAGCAACCAGCGAGCGCAGAACAGGTAAGTAGTCACCATAGCCATTCGTCAACCTGTCCTTCTTCTCTCTCTCTCTCTCTCTCACTCTCAAGATCTCAGTCTTAGTCCTCCTCTCCCATCATACATGCACACTCCTACCACGAAGATCTACTTTGAATGCTACTCACTGTAGACTAACAACTAACCCTCTAACTATGCTACTTGGCTGGTGCAGCTATGGCTGCCCCTTGCAAGCCAGCACCCAGCTCCTTCTTCCTTCCAGGGCAGCTTCTCCTCCAGCGCTAACCCAGCTAGCCAGCGCACAAGTGCACGCAGCACTTCCACGCTGATAATGCCAGTGGGAATCTGATGTCAAGGGAGGCTGGCCTATTGTTTTATACTGCTGGCCTCCCTCGGCGAGGTCTGCATTGGTCTGTATTGGCACTTTGGGCCTCCTTCAGTCCCAGACCCATGCATATGTGTGTGTGTCCCAGTATTTTCCCCTCAGGGTCTGCTGCTGCTGCGGCCATTTGGCCTGGATTTCGGACTGGGTGTCTGAATCTAGACCCCCCTATTAGACTTAGACAGAACTGGGAACCTGCCCTTTGACTTCCTTTTGGACAGACACTCATACTGCACGAACAGACACATACTGTACGTACAGACACATCTCTTGCCTGAACAGACATGACCTGCGCACCCCCCTGAACGAACAGATGTGACTCCCAAGTCCAGATATTCCAGCTGTTTGTACAGGGCACAACTGTGACCTTTGACATTGGCTTTTACTTAGCTAGGATGTGACTTTTGACCCAGAGAACATGTCCTTTGATCTGCTTTCACGAGTTGGGCCCTGGCGAGTGACCCCTCTATGCTGCATTTGCCGAACAGGGTCTGAATCGGGTAAAGGCCCTTTTAGATTGATTGATTGAGTATTTACACCTGTACTCTGTTATCATTATTCGCAAGTTGCAAAAAAAAAAAAAAAAATTCTTCGTACATAGTTATAATTAGGTTTTTTAGGTTTGGCGGCTCTCTCCAAAATGCGTGCAATTAGGAAATCGTGCAATCGTGATTAACCTAATTAGCGCTACTTAGGGTTACTGCTAACCTAATCTAAAGATCTAACGACCTATCGGGCTACGGGAAGTAAGCGCCAGCCAGGCACTGCGCCCAATTAAGGCAGATCGGGCCTGAGCACGGCCACATTCAACTGCAACTTCACGGAATTTTCATTTCTTGCAAATCGCATCTTTTTGGCAATTAAAGTTTGAATCTTTACAGCAAATTGTGTATCTTCCTACTACCATTGATCTTGTACTTACCTCATGACCTCGTAATGATGCTGAAGTCTCCCGATTAAATTTCATGAAAGTATTTAATTAAATATTCTGATTAAATGTTTAATTTTATTTAAACTTTATTAAATTTTATTTTTGCAAATTTAAGAATTCTTCAATTAAATATTTATTTTTTGCCAAATTAAAGTTTTATTTCATTAATGCATATTTTCCTGATTAATTTACTTAATTAAATAATTAAATATTAATTAAATAATTTAATATTTAATATTAAAATTTTCAAAATTCAATTTTTTCGTGGGAGGGAAAATTTTCCTTGATTAGCGTCGAGGTCAGGGCAGGAAGGGACTGTCTGTGCATTTGCCTGCCTCCCTCCCTTCTTTCCCACCCCTACCTTCTCTCCCCTCCTCCCCGAAAAGTGGACTTCCGACTCCGGCTACGTCAGCACTGTGTAATCTTCAGCAGTGACATGTTAGCTGCAACACGGAGGCCGGACTGCTAGTTGCGCCGCAGTCAACGACTCGCTGAGCGCGGATCCAAGGGCACTCAGCCCCAACAGGGTCTCAAGACACCTCGGATCCCGCGGCAACGAAGCACGACCATGGCCGAGACCGCTGACGCCAATGCGCAAGACAGCCCCAAGAGGCCGGTCACTTCTCCAATGCCAGTTCAGCAGACCGATGAAACGCAAATCGCGTTTCTGGAACGTCTCCAACTATACACGGAGACTACAGCAGCTGCACTTCGCAAGTGGGAACAGGAAGAAGCCGCCCGCCCGCAGGCAATCCAACGCCAGCTGGCAGAGGCCGAGGCAGCACGTCAGCAGGCCGCAGCAGAAGCTGCAGCAGCCGCACGGTTACAGCAACAGCAGCTGGAGGCAAGTCAGAATCAAGTTTGGTACCAGGCCACAATGGAGCTCGCAAATGAAGAAGCTACGTACCGCGGGTTACTGCAACAGCAGCACTTTCAAGCAACTGAAGAACAAGAAGAGCCGACCGAGGAAGAGCGAAGCAAGGAGGCCACAGCAGTCCTGATGGAAAACCTGCTGTACGCGTGCAATTGGCAGCAACGCGAACTGATGGCCATGCGACAGATCTTCATCCGCTACGAAGGAACTTTTCAGACGCTGGATCAGAAGATTGCTGTTTTGCAGGCCGAGAACAGTACACTGCAGGCCGCCAACAGTCACCAGCAGGCTATCAACGATCAGCTGCAGACCGATGTCAGCATGGGGTTGGCACAACTGTCTGCGGTTGAGTCGACGGGCAGTGCAGTCTCAGACTGCAGCCCAGCTTTGGCCGCTCAAGCCAAGCAACTCGAGGAACGGATCAACCACGTGGTAGCATCCCTTGGCGACATCAGCAAGTTTGTCGGGACATCTACAGTCAGCAATCAGCTGCAGACGCTCAGCGACCGCGTTCAACAACGAACGGCCGTCGTCGTCAAGGAATGGAAGATGTCGAACTTCAAGATTGAGAAGTTCGACGACTACCACAAGACTGATCCGCTGAAATGGTGGATGGCATTCAACGCGGAGGCGGACGTACATCACGTCCCACCACTACGGCGGTTTGACGCGCTCTACCTCCAGCTCATCGGAGGGGCACAAGCATTCATGACTCACATGGCCGTCACGTTGGAATGCACCATCGCCACCCTCCACACCAAGATATCTTGGGAGGACTTCAAGAAGAAGTGGAAGACCCAGTTCATGGTCAACAACGACAAACGTCACGCATTGAACAAGATCTTCTGCATGTTTCAAGGCCAGCACCATCACAGGAATGGCTGACGGAGTGGCAAAGACTCGTCGCCACCCCGGAGTTGAACCCGTCGTTCGACTCAATCCGGGCCGAGTTTTTCGCCCGGTCTTGCAACGCCTTGACAGCTGCTCTTGGCAGCGAATTTCAGTATAAGACCTTTGATGAGATGATCTCAAAGGCAAGGGAACTCATACAAGGTAACCGGCGCGCAGCCAATGAGGCCCGCCAAAAGCCCGGTTACGTGGAGAAAGGCAAAGGTCAGCGGACGCCGCAAGTAGCAGCGATCCAGCAAGGATCTAGTGAGGACCACGCAGCCGCTTCAACATCAAGTGACGGAGATGTGGCGGCAGCGATACCACCGCAACACTCAAGACCCCATTGGGGAAAACATAAGGCGAAAACAGCGTCGGCGGATGGAGCGAGACAGTCACCATGGACGAAGTTCGGGATCACCGAAGACATGTTCAAGTTACAATAGAAATGGGGGTGTTGTTTATGGTGCAACAACACCAAACACATCACTAGTGCGTGCCTCGACAAGGACAAAGAAAATGTCAAGCGTCCAGGCTCGGGAAACGGAGCACCGCGGAAAGTGCAGCGACATCACTTTCCAGTCCGCCGGACTCGGCTGCCTTGCTAGCAGTCTCTCTCACGTTTGGGGATGACGCGGTAGTCGCGAGTTCTTGGATTGACTTCGAGAACTATGCTCTCCAGCTGGTCCCACCATTGAACCAGCCTCTCCGCGTGTAAGATTCAAGCGCATGCGTAGCGTTACCGTCGTCGGACAACGAACCGGTTGCTTCGCCAGCCCTTCTATCAGAGGATCCGTCAACTTGGGCGAGTCTTGAGTAACTCGACCCGTTGACGATTGAGGACTTCCAATAGTTGCCTCTTCCCTCCACCGGTTCTTTGCCAACACCGCATTGCAACGCCCTGATGGCACATTTGCGGGAATACTTGCGCGTTGCAGTACCACCTCCGTCGACGGACGACGGAGTAGCAGTTGTTGACCTTCGCAGTTATCTCGCGAAGATCGACCACGAGCACGCAACGCAACGGTACGTCGACATCGACGCGCCGCTCCTCAACATCCGCATTCAGATCGGAAAGGCGACCTGCAGTGCCTTGATCGATTGTGGAGCGACTCAAACTACATCAGCCAAGACTTTACGGCACGCGTCGGGCTTGGCCCGCGGGTTCGAAGGAAAAGTCAGCCTACGCACGTCACGTTGGTCGATGATCACACGCAAAAGTCAATTGACCGCTGCGTTGACTCCGTGCCTATGTACTTTGGCCCGCTAGCATGCGAGGTCGTGTCATTCGACATATTGGACACTAAGTTCGATATGATCTTAGGCATGTCGTGGCTGCAAAGCAAAGACCATCCTGTAAACTTTTTCCTACGCATCGTTCACGTTCATGATCGGCGTGGCGAACTAGTCCCGTGTACGGTGCCGCTTCCTCATCCTTCGATTGGTTGTCACGTGGTCTCCACAGCGAGCATTCGCCAATCCATCAGCCGGCACGACATTGAGGAGATGGGGATGTGTTTTCTTCACGCCCTCCCACCCGGTGAGCAGCCCAAGACGGACACATCGGACCCATGCATCATTCGCCAATCCATCAGTCGGCACGACATTGAGGAGATGGGCATGTGTTTTCTTCACGCCCT